TTAATTTGATATATTCAAATAATAATTGCAGTGGAAATGGTCAAAGATGTTGATTTGAGCATTACGGTTCGAGCGAGATGCGACCGTAGCAGGAGAAAGAACGAGGAATCTCATTGATTGTCAGTTATTTTTAAGCGCTCGTCGACAGTTGAAATAGTGAGAAATGACTGCAGTTTTGTGTATTGCCGACAAGAATTTCATTGCGAGAGAATTTACTTTGACAGACAGGTTTTTTCAGAAATGCAAGAAAAACTGCACCTTTATTATTTTAACCATCACCTTCCATCATGTATCCAATAAAAAAGTACTTTATTACAAAAATATTTATTTTGCAATTGACATATGCTGGTTCAGTTGGGCAACCCGTTGAACATAACAACACAAGAAAGCAAAAGCTTTTATAATTTAACATTTTATTATATTGTAATGTTTAAAGGCAACAAAAACCAAGTGAATTGAATTAGCTGCTTTCCCTAACATTATGTCAACTACATGAACCAGGAGTTAGGCTGGGTTAAACAGAAAATTGTATTATACTTCAATCATATATGGGTATCTAACAAAGAGAACAACCTCTTTTGCCCTTGCTGACAGTGTGAAAGTATCCCAATAAATCTTATTTTGAACTTTAAAATCACTGATTGTTTATGATTGGTTATAAAATAAGGAACCTTGAAAATTAGTTATTAGACAAGCTACTGTCCACATTTCGTTAATACTTCCTGCTAAAGTGAGGGGAATTATCCTATCAAAAAAGTGAAGTTCCTTAACCCTTCTAATGGCCCTCTCTACGTGAACTCTTAAATTATGCACCTGCTTGCTACTATCTATTCCCTTCTTAGAAAACTTCCCCTTGCTTGATAGAAAGGTAGGCATTGTAACCGTACATCCTATTGGCTCAAAAGATCACCAATGGTAAAACCCTTGTCTGCCATAATTTTGTAAAGCAAGTTTAAAAGTCCTGATTGGCTTACTAATTCTTTATCAGATATACTTCCCTCAAAAAGTGAGCTCACATGAATCACCTCACCCAAGGGTGATATAACAACATTGCCCTTGTATGTTGTGTGGCTCTTGTATGATGAACAACATGGACTGTTTAAAAGCATGCTAGAAGGTGCCTGCACCTTGATTTCAAAAGCATCTATAATACCACGGCACTTGGAATACAGCAACTTAAAACTTTGTGGCAAATGCTTATCAATTTTAGCTATAGATGGCCAGATAGAGAGGGTCCCCAATACAAAATACAGAAAGTTAACCCATGATAAAAAATACAGAAAGTAAACCCATGATAAAAATACACGACTTACAGTTGAAACAGAAATATTGAAATCCTCAGCCAATTTTTCACTTAAAGTACCCAGCCTTAACTTAGTCAGGCACAAGTAAAATTGGTCAAATAAAGAAAGTATACATGTTTTGACAGTGCTCCTCATGACTTCTACATCAGATTTTCCCTTATTCCTAATTCGCTGTATTTGTGACCAAGAATACACTTTGTCTGCGGTTGGTTTTATGGCATTAAAAGTACTTATGAGGAATTGGAAGGATGAGAGGCCAGTGTGGAATCTAACAGTGACGTTTGTCTAGCATTTCTTGCAGTTGTTTACAGAATGACTGTTTCCCTAAAATTTGTAAACAAATGATAGACTATGAAAAATCAAAATAAAATTGTTTTACCTCGAATGTTTCCCTTCATCCCACCTAATATTTATAATCCATGGATGCTTTAAGGCTTTTTCGTTTGGAAGTTGATGAAAAGAAATGATAACTGCTGCTTTGATCTATTATTTTGGCACAAAGGCACACAACAATTATCTCCGTTCAGCATGATTGCAAAGGTGACCTTACCACGCGTGACCTCACTTTCATGTTCAATTAGGTAATGAATAATTCAAGATGGCAGCTCCGTGATAAAGGCGAATCATTTGCAATCTAACCCCCCAGAACCAAACACACTCAACCCATCATTATTGATACTATTATAATTATCACTGATAATAATATTATTTTCATTATTATCATACTATTAGCATTACTGTCAGTATTAATATTACTTGAAATAACCTTGCAAGCTATGCACACGGCTGTATGTTCACTACTTACCATTAAAAATGCTGATCAATTGAAAGACTAAATCACTACACTGCGTGGTCCAGTTGTATTTCTCACTATAGGAGGTTCGAAGTTTTTCAGCCTCTTGGAGTCGCATCCGTCTGTCTCTCTTCCAGACCTTCTTGATCTCCTTTGCCCATTCATTGTAATCCTCTGACCCGATCAGACATGACTCACCAAATGGTACTTTACTCAGCGCTTCTCCGAATCCTGAGTTCCTACTGACAAGCATAGGGAGACCAGCTGATAATGCCTCTAGACCAGTTAGGCCAAATCCTTCTGAGCGGGATGGCATGAGCACAAGATCCATTTCGCAGAACAACTGCTTCAAACGCTCTCGGTCCTGCACAAAGCTTCTTACGGTAAGGCGACTAGCGGGTACACCGCAACGGCGAAAGCGCTCTGCTATCTCTTCGAGCTTTCCCTCCGGAGCACCAACGAAAGTGAGATGAGCGTCTTGAACCTTGGAAACAGCTTTGCCTGCTATGTCGAAACCTTTCAACTCAAAGTCTTCAGCATCTCCTCGGCCAAAGACTAGAACTTTACACTGTTTCCCATCCTCTTTGACATGTTCGATATTCAGAAATTCGTCAAAAACTCCGGGGGTAATATCTAGAATAGCGTTGCTTTTCTTGTAAGGACGAAGATAACCACGAAAGGACTCGTATAACTTTGGCCCAACGCCAAAAATTAGGTCTGCCATTGCACAAAGTTCCACCTCTGTTTCGTGCTTTTTCTCCCCGGATGAAATGGGATTTTGATAGGACTTGTACATTGCAAGCTCCTCCGGGTCTGTGTGGACAACTTTTAACCACTTACAACCGCGAGATTCTCTTATAACTTGAGCTTGATGCCCAAGCTTCACACCCTGACCAAAAACAACGTCAATTTCCTGCTGATTTGGAGGAAAACTCAGCCAGTCGAGTTCATCGTATCCAGGTCGCCTTTTTGCTTTGACAATTTCAATGTTTCTACGAAGAGCAGTTCTCTTGTTCTCCTCACTGCACTGTGGTACAAATAACGAAACTTTGACTTCAGGAAATTTAGCCAATTGAATGGCAAACTCTCTGGTGAAGGTGGACACTCCACCCTTATCTGATCCCCATTCTGATGCTAGGATTGTAACCTGTAGCTTGTGGGCACGTGGAGGTGACTGGCCATTTCCTTCTAGTTCTCCCAACTGTGAAGACGTCATTTGAGAAAAACGCCCAAAAGTGCTATTGGGGAAAACAACAAATTACATTCAGACTTCGTCTCTTGGAAAACTGTAACCTTTCAATGATCAGACTGGTATTTATTAACTTTTTGTTTACAGGAAAATTAATTAAGCTTGCGTGTAATACTATTTAGATTTCGACTAGGAAATGTTCCCTTTTGAATTGTTAATTTCACCCGCTTTGCAAAATGTTTGATGCAGAATACACACAATAACGTCTGTTTGGCGCGAAAATACGTACGGACAATTGTCCTTAAAGGAGGTAGATAACTTTGAGTGTTACCGGTTTTCCGTGGATTCCTCTTCACCTTGATGTTTTAGCTTCTTATTGAAATTTAAAATTTGTGGAAGTAATGATAACAAATTTCCAGTAGAAAGTAAGTTTTACTCTTTAATAATCCTCTTTTTATATCGTATTGTTTAATTGCTCTAAATGGTATTCGTTTCTCTTATTTCCTACAATACTAGTGAACAACTTTTCTCTGGCAAATAGTGCTAGCAATTTCAATCCCGAGCTGTGAAGAAACGGTTAAAAATCAAATCAAAGTTTTATAGCTGATACAACAGAATGCAGGAAAGAAAATAACACTATTAGTTAAAGGAGCACTCTTATGAAACCACCCTATAATTTGAAACCCGAAAAATTCAGTTATTTCATTATATGAATTTTTTTAGCGATAATAAAGCCTTTTCAATAATAATTTTAGTTGAAAGTCAATTCTAGGGCGAGAAATTATGATTTGAAAACCGTTCCGCCATTAATTTTCGTAATCACGGCTACTTATCTTCGGTCAGCGGTCACTCCCATTGTGACGTAATTACTCAAAACACTTTTATATTTATATGAGAAACATCGTGAAATTTAGTGAAATAGTCTTAGTCTTAGTGTTATAAAAAGCAATATATACGATCAAAATACTTGTTTTGAAAATTAGCCATGAGCACAGCACGTCAAATGAGTAATTACGCCACGGTCCCTCCCATTGTGACCTACATTACTCATAACACTTTTATATTTATACAGACTACTTCGTGAAATTTAGTGAAATAGTCTCAGTCTTAGTGTTATAAAAAGCAATATAGCCGATCAAAATACTGTTTTTGAAAATTAGCCACGAGCACGGTGCGCCAAATGAGTAATCTCCAAACTCATGCCAGTCTTCTTGAGCCTGCGAAGTGATTACGAAAATTAATTGTGGAACGGTTTTCAAATCATAATTTCTCGCCCTAGAATTGACTTTCAACTAAAATTATTCTTTTAAAGGCTTTATTAATCGCTAAAAATTCATATTATAATGAAATAACTGAATTTTTCGCATTTTCAAATTATGGGGCGGTTTCCTAAGAGTGCTCCTTTAGTAAAGTTAAATTATGTTGTAATGCCTCTCTCTGACACAGCACCACAGGTTATGCTTTAGAAAGGTAAACCCTCTTTTCTTACATAGCCATGACAACTTTCAAAACCTCAATAAGCCTAAAAAATGGTAGGTTGGAAAATATAGAATGCCAGAATTCGGAACAGATTACTTGGAATACACGGAATTCCCGAAATTCCCAGAATGACTGAAAAATGGTAAATTTAAAAACAATAATTAATTAATCAACAATCAAAAATAATGAATTTTGATAAATAATTGAAAAGGAAAATTGAAAATTCAGTTGTCAAGATGTATTTGCAAAAAATATTGAAAACTGTCCTTAATTAATTGCTCCTCTCATTGGCATTTAGTGGCAAACTCATTAGCAAATAATCAACAGATTATACAAATTCACTGTAATAGCAGCCTTTGAATTATGAAAATGTTTGGTAAACTATACTACAATTCTGTACCTAGTAACTGCACAACAGTAATGATTCATAACACGGGAATTTGGACAAATTTTGAGTAAGCTGAAGTAAAAGGTGAACAAGCCAGTTAAATGCATGGGTTTGATTTTTTTGTTTTGTTTTGTTTTGACATATATGTTGTAGTTCAATTTTATCCTTGGTTCAAATTTTAATTTCCTTTGTTTCAAACTCATTATCATACATTAACATGACCAAGAACAAAGGGAAATAAAATTTGAACCAAGTATAAAATTGAACTATAACATATACAATAATAACGTATTGTCAATCGTATTAATTTATAAAAGGGAAAAATTAGAGTTGACTCAAACTTAACGTATGACTCAAATTTGACTTTGGCTGTGATATTGTAAACAGCCTCCTTTTTGTGATAAATTCACAGAACAGTGATTTTAAACTTCAGCCATTCACTCTTACCTCTTACGGACCCATGGTCGTCCTGGGGACAGGTCATGATGATACCAGACTCTGTAGGTGATATACCAGGTAAACATCGCTATAAGAGCTCCAAGAACTTTCTGATAAACTGTGTGAAAATATATGGTGGAACACACAAGCATAAACTCCCACAGGATTGACAGGAGACCGGCAAAGAAGGAAAGAACTTCTACAAAGGGGGTTACTAGAGCAATGTTCTTGTGTTGAAATGCATTAATATCTTCAGGGCTTGTTTGTTCAAAAGTTGATATTCTTGACGACCAATAAATTTTCGGCGGTAGTTCTTCTTTGATAACCAGTACACTGTAAATTAGAAGGAAACAGTGTCCCGATATATCAAAACCATTCCAGTAAAATCCCTCTTGATAGCAGCTCCTCTTTGAAATCAGCGTTTCTTCTCCCTCGCAATAGCCGGTTTTCTCCTCGATGTAAACAAACAAATTCACCCAGAAATACCATCCACATGTAGCAACGGCCATCCTACTAAGATGCCTCAGCATGTGGCATACGTGTACGGACGATGTTAAGGATATGAAGGGAATCAAAAGAAGCTGTGTCCAGCCCCAGCCAAACTTGACAAAATACACGTTGAAGATATTTTCCTTGTTCGAGAAATAGCACTGAGGAAGGGGTAAAAAATCGTGGATGAATGAACCTGTTAGTACAACAAACCAACAAAAGGCTACTTTTAATTGCGTTGGCATTAGAACCCAATCGTAGAAACTTTCCAAGTAAGGATGCATGGAGGTTTTCAAAATGCTCTCAACCTGCCGGTCATTCGCCATTTTGGGTTTTGCTGAAATCATCTTATCCTGCCGCTCAGTGTTCAGTTTTTTTCTTGTGCTCTTGTTCAGTTTTTTTCTTGTGCTCTTGTTCAGTTTTTTTTTGTCGCCATTTTGATTTTTCCAAAAGTCGTACCCAGTGTTTTTTTCTATCTGATGCCACGTGGTTTGAAAGGGTATGACTGGGTAGGACTCACTGTGGCGGACTGGAAGACATTTGTTATTGTTGACGACAAAGATTTACTTCATGGAAATGCCTTATTTTATATAATGACATAAGAAAGAAACGGGCTTGAAGTAATGTAAAACTACTAACAGTAAATCAAAACAGGGCCTAAAAGATCAGGGGAAGTAAAAGGTAAGAGACGAACCGAATGAGCAGATGTAACCATTCACAATTACATGGTCTGCAATGCACTTCTTCTTGTCTGATATAGCGTTAATCAATGAAGTCGAAAGTGAATCTCAAAGAAGAAAAAAATAAATCGAAATGTAAACATTCCTGCCTTTGCATGAGACCAGTTAAGAGTTTGAGCCCCACTCCGTTATTGCCTTTTCGATATTTCCAAATGAAAGATACTGATTAGGAATAGCTTTTCCACAGGGTTTTATGGATAAAGCGTCACTTATTTGCTTTCACGATGCCGATTTTCTTCCGGAAAATCAAATGGCTTTAATGGGTGGTGTGACCGAGAGTGACGATTGAGACGTTACATTGCGTGACATGGATATCAGGATTCCGCTGGCTATAATACAACGACGTGTTCAAAATAAATTATGATCTTCAACTGTCACTCGCTTTTCGCGCTTTTATCGAGAGTAACGAAGCCCAGTTTGAAAGGTAAGAATTTTTTTCTCCTCTCAAATGGAATATTGATATTAAAAAATGATTATTAAGACGATGCTACTGTGTATTTCTAGTGCCTGCAGCGAAATGTGATGTCATTTGGGCAAGTTCAGGCAAAATGGCCAACTCGGGTACCGAGTGGCCAAAACTTTGCGCGCGTAGTTCAAATGGTGCATGTGTTGGGTTCTCTCTATAGCGTCTAAACTGGAATTTTCAAGATAGAATGCGGGACAAAACCAGCCTTTCGTTCGGTTAGTCGAATATTTCTTGTTCTTTTGCCGTTTCTGGATCGCTTTTGCATTATTTCAAAGAGAAATACGATTTTCGCGCGGTCGATGTAAATCGTTTTCGCAGAGAAAGCTTCAATAAGAGAGCAAAGGCAGCTTCGGTTTTCGGCATTTTCTAAAGCAAGAGATTTAGCTTTGGGGCAGATTCTTTTATTAATGGAAAATGATTGATATTGCTAAATATAATTCACATATTTCTTGATTTTTTTATTCGGCGAAATGGAGTGAACTCGCCATCAGAAAGTGTCATCATTTATTTTTGTTCAACTTTGGTAGCTGGCGAGGTCTTGCAAATTTATACAAATGTAAGCTCGTGCCTACTTTGCTTTCTTAATATTCAAAGTTTTTATTTAAATGTTAATTTAATTAGATTTGTATTTTCAGGTGTCATGAAAAAATTCCATATCAGAAGGCCCATTTTATAAAAATCCACAACATTCCTTTTGTTTTGTAACATATCTGTTAATCTGTCCTTGTAAATCTGTAGGCAGTGTATCTAGCAGCATGATTGGAAATATTAGGAATGGTAGTACATGTAATGGAGTCAATGGAAGTACTGATCATTCAGTGAACAGAAACATCA